ATTTCATACGAGTTACTGTGGAACGGAAGGGGGACGTGAGGCCAAGCATATGGCGGTTCTCTCTCCAGCTTCCCTCCCATTTCCCCACATTTCTTGTTTACAAAAATGACTTCAGCCAACTGAACGTTTCACTTTTTCATTCGAAAGGAAACTGAAATACAAATGACAGAATCTCTTCCTGTGCTGTTCAACCAGCTCCCGCTGATTATGAGACTGAAGATGGTTATCTGACCGTTGCCCTCAGGATCCTACAGGACAGAGACTCTAAGTGGAGCAGTGAACGCTGCTATCCTGAGCCCCTCCAAGGGTCGCCTGGCAACTTCAAACCACGCGCCCAAACCTCCACTCGTAATTCCATGCAGCACAGATGGGCTCTCCCAGGGCCCCGACCCCGCAGCAGCGGAAGCCGTCACCCCCCTCAAGGCCACCCGTGCTCCCGGAGACCCACGCACGTGACTTCGGCTGACAGCACAATTCTACTCCCTGGCCACAGAAGTATCTCCCAAGGTTTGTCTATGGGCTGATTATAAACGCTGCAAACAAAAAATAACACCTCTTTACACCTCACAGATGGGCAGTTTACTGTGTGTAATTTGTTTTTTAATGACTATCCTAACAAGTTGGGCCACCCCACCTCTGCTCTAAGCAGACCAAAGGAATAATCTCACACGGGCGGGAGTTCATCTCCCACAGGGAGCCTGTCTGCACTGCCGATGATCGGTCGGGCGTCCCCACCTAACCCGGAGCCCGGCTACCATGACTGCGGTCCAGAGAAACCCTAACCCAGGCAGAGCCAAGTACTCGCCCAGCCTCATTTAAAAACAAAAATCTCTGTAAGATCACTCGAGAGACCTGGGCTTTGAGGACGGTGACGTTCTGATGTGACACTGAGAGAAGGTAACATACGTGCCTCAGCAGTGGTGATGGCAGTTCCAGCAAGGAGATGTGGTCGGTGACAACGTCTAAAGCCAGTCATTCTTGCTGCCGCTTCAAAAGGTCCTTGGGTTGCTCACGTATTCATTCAACCAACATGCACTGAGGGCTGAACATGGGCAGGGGCTGGGCAGGGACCTCGGGGACAGGGTGACCCAGACCCCAGGACACTGGTCCAGGGCTCGTGTTCTACTCGGGCGTGGACATCGGGAGACGGTCACCACCCCCAGACGACACGCTGCAGCATAAAACGCGCTAGGAACCAACAATAACGGCTCCGTGGGAACACCCTGTCACCACTCACACTGGGGGCTGGCACCCTGCACACCGGGCCCTGGAGGAGCTCCCCCCGGGCGAGGCGCAGGGTTGGGGGGTGTCCCACTATTTCACAAGTGAGGAGACAAGTCACTCTGACAGCCAGTGGTCCAGCCAAGCCTGGAACCCTGCCACCTGGGTTCAGAGTCCAAGTCTTTCCCCAGGATCACAGCACCTGGTGCGTGAGGTGCAGCAGGAAGAGGAGGGGTCCTGGGGGTGAGGCGGGGAGGACGGGCCTGTCCCAGACGACCCGACCCGCCCTGTCAGAGCCGAGACCTAACCCCCTTCCCTGCAGCCGTAACTGAAGAGGAGGCGGCTGTCCCCAGGCCACTCCACCCCCCCAGCATGTGTGCAATGCTTTTCTATTACATCCACAGCAAAACTGATGATTGACTCTTTCTGTTGTTGAAAAAACTGGGTAAGTGATACTTTAAATGAATGACTAGGAATCAAAATATTGTATGACGAGTTTAACAAAAAGACATAGTTCATCATAAGCCTACAGGACACAATAATGTTTGCAAACCGTCCAAAATTACGTATTTAGTGCTTACTTCACTCAGAGCGGTCCCTTGCTAAGAATCAAGGCATTTTTGTCCAAATGACCACGAACGGTGAGTGAGTCAGCTCCGAATTAACGAGGCTGTGAAAGCTCCCACCCTGTTCTTCAGAAGACTGGTGTTTTTGAACAAAGAGAGAAGCAAGCAACTGGTTTCTTTTTAAAACCTCACGATTCCGACCTTGGCAGATACGCCCTTTTATGCACATCCTGCCACGGTGTCTCCGAGAAGCCCCGGGGTTTCCCCAGGACACGTCTGCCCCTCACCGCTTCCCAGCGTGCTCAGGTCTGGGGGGTCTCGTCCAAACAGAACAGAAGGCACAGCCTCTGTGGCTCTGACCAGAGACTCACCGGAACGGAGTGTGTCTGTGATCAGGACAAGAGAACCCCAGTCTTCATGGCCGGACATGGACCGGGGGACAGAAATCCAGGACACTCACACGGCCATCTTCTCCCTGCTCACCCCCATGTGACTCTCCTCCTCTGCTCAAACCCTGAACACTCGAGTCCTTTAATCAGAGGTCATCGGTCAGCAGGCTACCATTTCCCCACGCCCTCCACACAGGTGGGCACAGTCCTGGGGCTGGAGGAGGAGGGGGAGAGGGAGGGCACCCCACCCCAGCAGCCCCCTCCCGCCCTTTGTCCCCTGCCCAGGTCTCCCCTCGCCCACCGCTAACACTCAGCCCCCAGCTCCATGGCTGGACCTCGACCCCCGATGCCTCGCCTCAGGCCCACAGTCGCAGCCCCGGCCCATCCAGCTTAGTCTCGGCCAGAGGCAAGTTCCTCGGGCATTTCCACTAACAAGCCAGCAACAGGTGTCGGGGGTCCCACGTCTGCAGACAGGCCTGTGACAAGCCAAGGGGCCGCCCCCGGGACTGAGCTCACTTTCTTGTGAGACGTGGTGCTGAGACCCTCCTGTTGGACCATCACTGCCCTCCAGGCCCTGGCCTGAGCTGAGCTCCAAGCCTCGGGGCCCAGGACCCAGCAGAGCCAGGCGCTCTGACGTGCGGTGCCACCTCCACCGTCTCCGAGCTCTGGGTGACCGAGTGGGGCAGCCCTTGAATAAAGCCACAGCTCCTAGCGCTGATGGAGACGTGACTGTGTGTCTCCAAGAGGGAGGAAGTGGTTCACAGCTGGATAAAGTTCGTGACACAGTCTGTTTTTAGTGGGGCCGGTCTGGGCCCTGGAACAGTTCCCAGAAAGTCATTACTCGGGAAAAGGCCCCAGTTTTGATTCCCGGGGGGAGCTGGCCTCGCTCCATGAGAGACCGCCTGGTGAGACAGTGTAGATGCCACTTGGACGGCTGGATTTTGGTAGGTCACTACTGAAACCTGCCTGCCCCTTCCTCCCCTCAAGGCTGAGCCCACGCTGATCCCCAGGGGACCCGCTCCTTCCGGAAACTTCCATCTGACAGCCTGACATCAGAGAGAAGCTCAGAGTCTCCCAGGGACTTCGTTCACTTGGTCTCAACGGGCAGAACTATGGCTCCAACGAGGAAAACGCTCCGTGAAAGAGGCAGGAGGGTGGCAGGACCTTCCCCCGTGGCAGGGGCTGATCTTCCCAGCTGACGTTGGAGGAAAGGACCTGATGACTGGACATCAACCCGAGGGACCCTCGGTGGCTCCGCACTGGGGTGGGGTGGGGGGGATGTCTGTGCCCCACCTGTCCGGTGACAATGGCACATGGCCCTTCCCTGTGTGGCCCACAGGGCGCGCTGGCCTGGGGACTGACGAAACGTAACAGGCAAAGACAGGCTTTCCTCATGAAGCCCGCATCACCCACGCTCCTCACAGAGAGCGCCCACAGGCTCGGAAACGCGGCTCATTTCCACGGCCCACAGGGGGAACATGAGCGTCACGGACAGGAAGGACTACCTGAGACGTAAGCATTTTTTTTCCTGTTGTTTGCTTTCAAAGGAGGAAAAAATTTTTCAATAAACAGGAACACCTGAAGGTTATGGAGAAAATTCAAGGCTCGTACGTGGTCTGAAGCACGTTTCATGGATACACGGCAGCCCCGCTGGTTTTTATGGAAACGTGGCAAACGCACTGTCTACGGGGAGACTGACTGCCGGCTGCGACGCCTTCGGTCTCCCTTCCTGGGATCGTGTCAGGACAAGTGCCTCAGATAAAAGACGGGGACGTAAGTGACGCGGTTCTTCCTTTTTCACACACTTTCGGCACATGCTCGGACATCAACAACAATAGTTACTTTGAACTCTCTAAACAGTCCGCGCTGCCTCTCCCTTGAGAACTCACTTCTTCCCAGAAGCCGTCGGTGACCTCAGCTAACCCTGCAGGGCTGTTTGGGCTGGGGTTTCGTGCCTTGAAAATGCCTTCTATTTGGTTTTCGGCATGAAATTCTTACGACTAAAGGACATGGAAGTTTACAAGACACGATGTGAATGAAGCCCTATGTAAACTGTAACCTCCTACTTCAGTTTTAACTTGTGTTGTTCTCTAAAATAATCCAACTGTGTGACTTTATCCAAATTCCCAAGCAGACTGCTCTGCGTCAGGCTGGCCACAACTGTTGTGAGCAAAGCTGGTTAAAGGGGGAGGTGGCTAAGTCCTGCTGGGGGGTGGGGTGGGGGCGGTTCCTCGAGTGTGACTGTTTCCTGGAGGCTCCGGTGCTATAACCACTGCTCAGGTTCTGAGAGGTGGCAGGTGCAGAAGGAATGAGTCAACAAACAGACACGCTCCTCTCTCATCTCCGTCGGGAACATCACCAGCGTCCTGACCCCAAAGCTGCCAAACGGAACAGAAGAGCTGCAGGCAGCGCAGGTGCGGACGGGCACATGCGGGCACATTTACGAGACTCACAGACGCTCTCAGCGGAGGACGAGCACAGAGGTCCAAGCGTTCCATGTTCCACTGTCCCCGAGTCGGCAGGAACGGTAGGGCAGGATGAGGGAGTCCCATCCAGCCGTCTGGAACTGGGCATCTGCTGCTTTGTGCTGTCTGGCGTTTTTTTTGTTTGTTTAATAAACTAAGCTTTTGTCTTTGTTTTCCTTCCTCGTTTAATTGAGGCATCACTGATAGACAACACTGTATTGCTTTAAGGTACAACAATGATACAGTGTCCATAAGTCCTGAGACGCGATCCCAGGACTGCTGAACACTCCAACTGCACCGTCAAGGTTGACTGGCCACGCAGAACACTAACGCGATGGAAGCTTCTAGGATCCACTTACCTCGACGTAGGAGATTGGAAATATCCCTATCCTGTCTGCCAGCATGCCCTCCGCCCAGTTCACGTCCACTCTGCGGATCACAGTCAGGACATCATCCTGAAGAAAGAAGGAGCATCAGTCCACCTGACCCCAGGGGCTTCCCCAGCGTCCCTCGTCACAGAGGGACCCGGGCCGCAGGAGGACACGGAGCTCCCGGACGTGAAGGCGCGGTGCTAGTGAAGTGCCTGATCACCATCAGTCAGCCTGGCATCCTCTCAGGCCAGGCAGCTGGATGACCACGAACCCCTCCACGCGAGGGGCCGCCTGCTTCGTTCGTTCAGACCCTCAAAAACCCCCCCAGCCCCCGGAACTTCTGTTTTGGGTGGATTCTCTGTTCCTCTCCCTTCTCCCTGATAATACACCAAACACTCATTTCAGTGCATAGCCTACTGCTTTTCTTTACCGAAAAACACAACATTCTGCTTAAAATTCCAAAGCATTTTATCAATTCAGTGGATAGAGTCTGGTGTGTTTTTCAGCAGAGAAATTTACATATAAAGTAAAGAAGTAATGATGTTTCATTTTGTAATTCATAATTCGGGGAATTAAAATCCCTGAGTGGCACACACGTGCCCTGAAACGTAGCTGAGAATTATACGGAGGCTCTAAATCCGAAAATGATACCACACGGAGCACCAGTCAAAATTACCTTCCACAGAGAGCAGTCCCTGCACAGAATCACGGTCTTCGTGACTCTGAGAAGACGGCTCCCCTGTGTTTTAAGAAGCACAGGGACAGCGTTCACATAAAACCACTGAATCTCTTTGCAAAAGGAAACGAGAGTGCTGGCCCACATATCCGGGTCCCGAGAAGAGCCGGCCAACAACCCCATCTACCTTTACCTTTGCAAATGGAAGGCAATCTTTGTCCGCTTCCTTGTCTTTTACTTCGAAGTCATAAAGTGCTTTGCACTGAGGTGGGGGCTGAGGTAACGGTTTGATAATCTGCACAAAGTTGGTGGGGAAAAAGCCGTGGACCCCGTTGACTTCCCCGTGGTACCAATTTTCATCCACTTGTCTCCGCAAGATGATGATGTCGCCTTTACTGAACTTCAGGTCCCCAGGCTCCTTCCCTTCGTAGTTGTACAACGCTTTGGCACACGGTAGCTGAGGTGTCCCCTTGAGGAAAGAGAAGAGTCTTCGTGAAAGAATGGCCCAAAATGTCTCAAAGTTCAACTCTATTATTTCATCTATATTATCGTCACTCTGTTACCACAGATCCATGCTTTACCCTAGGAAGAAAATATCACATAAACAACTATCTGTGAAATGACTAGATAAAGAAGCTGTGGTATATCTCTACAATGGAATACTACTCAGCCATGAAAAGGGATGAAATAATGCCATCTGCAGCAACATGGATGCACCTGGAGATTGTCATTCTAAGGGAAGCAAGCCAGAAAGAGAAAGAAAAATACCATATGATATACTTACACATGGAATCTTAAAAAGGCACAAATGAACTTATTTACAAAACAGAAACAGACTCATAGACTTACGGCTACTGGGGGGAAAGAGGGTGGGAAGGGATAAACTGAGAGTTCGAGATTCACATATAGAATAGATAAACATAGATCTACATATAGACTGTATTAACAACAAGTTTATACTGCACAGCCCAGGGAACTATGCTTAATATCTTGTAGTACCCTAGAATGAAAAAGAATGTGAAAAGGGACATATGTATGTGTATGTATGAAACATGATGCTGGACACCAGAAACTGACACATTGTAAACTGACTACATTTCAAATAAACAAACAGACAGACAGACTGTGTGTGCGTTGCCAGAAAGAGCAAACAAAACCAACAAAACCAACATCACGTGAGAGTAAGGCAGCAGAGCACCCACGCCCGCTGAGACGGTGTCCTGTCCGCAGCCTAACTCCATGGGGCTCTCAGCACACGGAAACGCCAACTCAGCCTTCCAGGCGTAAAATTCAAAAACTAAAAAACTTAATTTCTGATACTAGGACTTTACTTAACAGGATAAATGATAAGCAGCAAGAAGAGAAACTTAAAGAGAAGCACAGTTCATTAGTTCACTAACTGCTCTGAAGTCTGGTTGACAGGAATCAGAGTTGCACTTTTGGGTAAAACATTTCCCACTGCTTCTGACTAGGGGTGGGGTGGGGCCAGAAGACCTCGGCCCCTCGGGACCTCGAGTGTGCACGGGGCTACCCTGTGCCAGCACGTGTGGGACGGTCCCCGGTCCCCGCTGCCGCCGCTCGGAGCTTCTACCCCGTAACCACCGGCATACAGACCTCACAGCCTGAACGCCATGGCCCGACGCTGCCCCTCCCTGCTCCGGGAGCACCGAGGCTGACGTGCCAACAGATGAGGTCTTCAGTGTCACTGATCACACTATGGTTTTAAATGGTAGCTTTAAAATGTGTGTGTGGCCCCAGGCAAACTAATCACCAAACAGACCAAACGGGAAACTTCCTGATGGCCTGCGGGTGCCCGTCCTGGCGCACCAGCTGTCACTTTAAGGCGACCTCTGGCCTCTCTGGGTCACGGCTGCCTACTGTGTCCAGAGGATAAATGGCAAACCAAACACACCCAGACTTTTCCTGAACAACATTCCCGGGCTCCAGCTTTTCACAGACTGACTCATTTATCCACCGCCCGGGGAACACTGACCGAGCTCTGCCTTTTCACCCGGCGGAGCGCCAGTGCTGCGTCCTGCAGAGGACGGGGCACAGACGTTCTCCTGGAGGGACGGGTGTCAGACGGCACGACACCACAATGCAGGGAACGCAGGGCCGCAGGACAGGAGCCGTGCAGGGCAGCGAAGGGCCAGGGCCTAGGGGTGAGGGGGTGGGAAAACGAAACACCTCCAGGGGGGAACACCACACGGCCAGGTCTTCAAGGAGATGGGTGTTTGCAGGCAGAGCTGGAGCAGAGGAAAGAGAAAGGAGGGCGCTCCTGGAGATGCAGGGCCAGCACGCAGGGCAGAGGGACCGGCTTTGCAGAGCGTGCGATGCTGCGGAGGAAGCTGGGAGGGCGGGGGCCACGTGCGGGGGCCTGAAAGGCAGGCTGAAGGGTCTCCATGCTGTGTCCTTTGGCTGATGACGAGCTCCCCGGGTCAGCAGCTCAGGGCGGCCCAGGAGCCACGCAGGCAGGTGCATTGGGTCGGAGGGTGAAAACGCACCGAGTGAAGCACAGGCCTGAATGGGCTGAACTTCAGTTTCGTCTTTGTAACAGAGTAGAGCAAGGGGACAATTCCCATGGCTCCCCGCCCCTCCAAACACGCAGATCAGTTTTGCACCCTGATGGCCACAGAATGTAATAATACAGGTTTTAAAAATTAGTTTAGTTTCTAGACAGAGATTGAAAGCCTGGCTGTCTTGTCAGCCAAATGTTTTTTGCTCAGTATTTCTGTTTGGCTTACGAGGAAGAGCCAGTTCCTGGCTCTCGAATGACAGCGGCTCGTCCAGTGTGTGGTTACTGGGAGCTGCCCCAGGGGAAGTCAGGACCGGAGCCTTCCAGAAGTCCTGCAGCCCTCAAGAGCCCTCTGCCCTCTGGACCCTGCCTGAAGACCCTGCCTCTCGTGACAGGACCCCTGCTACCCTTGACCTAGCCTCAGAAACAACTCCCTCTGGTTTCCCCAGAAGGGGGTGCCCAGCAGGACGCCGGTGCAGCACAGTCCTGGGAGCTGGGGTCACCGTCGAGGCCAGGCCCAGCCTTGGGAAGGATGCCTGTGGCTGTCCACCTGCACAGAAGCACCTCACCGCAGTGCCCACTGTACCGTGCATTTCCTGAAATCTGCTGATCACAGGTTAACAGTATTTCCCAAGGCATTTCTGAGGAAACAATAGTCAGTAAACAAGCAATAAACATTACTATGAGAGACAGACGAAGCACATGCAGAAGAGACAGAGAGATGACGGAGAGATGGAGGCAGAGCCGGAGGACTGACAAGCACGGCCGTGAAGCAACGTTTGGAACACAGCCAATGGGACCTCGATCACGCAGCCCTGGAGCCGGGACCCCAGCCCGGCTGCTCACCTGCTGTGTGATCCTGAGCAGGTGAACCTCTCTGTGCCTGATTTCACCCTGTGGGGCGCAGTGAGGACTAAGTGAAGGAATGTGTGTAAACCACCGAAAAACGGCCGGCAGGGAGGCAGGGCCGCGCGTTTGCACGACCATCGCTGACGTCGCCGCCCGGCAGAAAGCCTGTTCCCCGAGAAAACAGGGCTCCTGCAGACGTCTGTCTCTGCAGCTGGACACTCCTCCTGCTCACACGGTGGTTGCGCTTCTAACGCACGCTCCCTGTGCGAGGTGTAAGGGCCGCTCCCCCGAGGAAGGGATCGGGGCTCTTAGGTGGCCTTCCTGAAGCACACACTTGCTTTCTAGCAGAACCCACTCGTCTTCTGGTTGAACAGAAGAAATTACAGACCCACTGACACGCACCATTTGACGGGGCGGCACTTCCTGCGTGGCTGTAGTTCATCTGGACAGAGCTGATGTAAGGCCCTGGGAGCCCGCATGAATTAACTGGAAATCCTATTACAAACTCGGTGACAAATAACTCTGTTCGCCTGTGTGGTACTCTTCTCCACCTCAGTTAGCTCTGTTTGGCCCCCTCTGTCCAAATCCAGGCCAAACGCACGCCCCACGACACAGACTCGGCACTCAGAACCGCGCTGGGCCGCTCCGAGAAGAGACGCGTGAGGCTGCTTTGTGACACGCTGGGCTGGGGTCTGCTGCCTCACGGGTCACTTCCACACACAGGCAGCCTCACGGACTTACTCACTTTTCCACCACAGCAAATCCACTAAGTGCTCCTAAAATCATCCCGCACTCTCAACACAGTGAGGGCAAGGACAAAACTTCAGGTGACGGTGACGTGTCTCGCAGCCAGCCGCGACACCTCCCCGCGACTACCACCGAAGCTTCCCCGGTCCCCCGACACGCCAATGAGGTTGCTTCCGGGAGCAGAGCCGCAGAGCAGGAGCCCCAGGGTGGCCACCCTGCCCCCAGCGACAGCCGTGTATCTGGCGTGTCCCTCTGCTGCATGCTTTTTCAATTAAATCCTAAGAGGCGAAAAGGCCAGTTGGTGTCAAACTTTTCCCAAGAAGGCTTCCCGTATTAAATAAAACGAATTCCGCTCTGATTTCAAACCAAGCAAAGTTCACTGATTTTTAAAAGACTTACTTCCCACAGACTGTGGATGGTTAAGGATAAATGGTTACACAACAGAGCAGGTTTTCCTCCTGCAACACCTGAGGGATGAAGCCCAAACAAGCCTACGACCGACCTCATGGGAAAGTGTGCCCGGAGCCCAGGCCCTCCCGGGTCACCTCCCGGGAAAGGCCTGGGAGTCAGGCACCCTGCCCTCCGTGCCCCAGGCCAGCTTTCCAAACGGCTGCCTTTCCCCTGTCTCCGCCGTCCGGCCACGGCCCTGGCATCCACAGGGCTTACATTTCACTTGGCTCCACATGAAAGGGAGGCTTCAAAGGACAGCGGGCCGGGGGGACGGTGATGCGGTGGCCGTCACCCGAGCCGCCCTGACCACAGAGCTCGGCACTTCAGGCACGTGGGGTTTCATCCCAAATCTTAATCGAAAATACATTTCCTGAAGCAGTGACTCTTGTGCTTGTACAGAAAAGGGTAACCATGAGTGGGCCAGTTTTACTTTGCAAATAATGTCTGCTTCCACGTTACACACACGGGTGTTTACAGGACATTAAAATCCTCATGGGGCCAGCACACCAACACTTCTGATCTGATGCTTTTACACCCCGTTTCTGTGCCATCAAGCGCATTCCAAAGTATCTGACAAAGCGCTGCTGGATGATGTAGCTGAGATCCCAGCACATCAATAAAACATTCACCGCCAATTTATTTTACAGACTCTAAATGCCAATGCCCAGATACACACGCAAGACAGCCTCTCTGAATTCAAACTCCCTCATGCACTTCTTACTGCTCCACAAAGTAAAAAAGACTCAATGATCTACTAAAAAGAGCGTTCAGAAGATACTCCTGCCCCAGGACCGGCAATAAAATGCGTACAATTTAGTAATTTAGTTGTATCTCAGCTGGCATGAACTCTGGCAGATTGCAAGCTGAGTGCCAAACCCTTCCAGGAAGAAGGGGGCACAGAGAGGGAA